TATACCTTCCACATTCTCTACTGTATCCATAAGCTGTCCTTGTCTAACTTCACCTGGTAATAGGAAATTAAAATAATTGATGGAAATTAGAAAATCATTGGCTTCTATACCCCCCCAAAATACCATACTTGTATACCTTCATATTAAACTGTACTAAAATTATAAAAATATGCATTATTTAATAGCCTATTATTTTATATTTTATTAATATTAGAATAATTTAACTGTATCAAGTTATATTTTGTAAACATTTGGTAAGGTAGTAAAGTTAGCTTGAAAAGGCATAATTCTAAAAAGAAGAGTCCAAGGCAAGCTAAATAGTAAAATAGTTTAAAGTGTTCTTTAATGGATCCTCCTTTACAATTTAAACAGCAACTTTTCATATCTGACACAAAATCTATAGATATAAATCACATTAAAGGGCTATTCTTTCCTGATTATCAATCTCTGTCTCATTGTGGAACATTAGAGTCACATCTGACCTTAAAACATGATAAAAGGAGGCCAAACAGGAATGTTTTGTAAAGATATAATGAACTTGTATCTATTTTTAAAAATATCTTTAAAATGTAATTTGATAACATTCTTATTAAAAGCCAATAATATATTCGACGAATGACATATCATTCAAAGTCCAGTACAGATTAGATATATTTGCTTCCAAATAAAATCCATGTTCCTTATAGACGGGTTATATATTTGTATATGTGTGTATGTGTTTGTGTTTAAAGATTAAATGGGAGTAGTCCAAGAAACCCTACCAAAATGTACCACCTAGCTATCAAACCAAGAGTCAGGTCTAATAGTTTAATTCAATTTTCCTTTACACCAACTTTCCTGTATTCCTATTTCAAGCAGCACATAAACTAGGTAACATGACATCACAGCAATGACCACGAAAATATCTGAATCTAAGAAGAAATGAAATAGGCATCTTGGGGGTTAACAATTCAAATGTATTTGATTATTGCTAAAGAAATTTAAGATTTACTACCACAGCATCCATAAATGAAAATAAGATAAATCAAC